TTGATTGTGTAACTATAAATATATTTATCTTAACAAGGATGCAGGTACCAAGAATTAACAGAACTACTGTATCAGTATCTTTATTTTACTAGCAAACATAATACAATACAAAAGATTTTTTTTTTTTCTTTAATACTTGAGAGTGTGTCCACCGTAAGGAGAGGCAGTATGCATAGTCCATTGCCACTCACTTAATGAAGTTGTTCTCCAGTCTTCCACTTGATGAGTTGTGTTATCCTGAATAAGTCCATTTAAATCTCACTAATTGACTTAATAACTACAATTCTCGTCACCAGCCTTATCGTGGAAGTAGAATATTTAGCTTGCAATGAAAGTAAAGCAATATACATTTGTTTTGCAGTAGTCCATGATATTGTGCTATTTCCAATTTGAGTATATAACCTGATGATGATTATTTACTTTTAAGAATCCTTTTCAGATGAATTTATATCACTTTATTCTTTTATGACTGATTCTTCATTCCGTTTTAGATGTCATTTATGGTTGCATGTAGCTTTTATTGAATTATTTTAAAGGAATTATAGAGGAATTCCTTCATTTGAGTGAGCAAACTGAAGTGGTTGTATCACATCCACAGTTTGCTAATATAAAATTGCTTCTGCTGCCCAACTGTATTTTTATTTTTGTAGTTTGTAGAATTTATAATGGTGTATTTCATTTCTAATTCTTTCTAGAATTTCTTCACAGTATTTTGAATTTTATTGCTTTGCTGAAGCTTCAATCATTCTTTCTCTCAAAATTATTCAAATATTCTCTAACGTTTTGATTTCAAAAGCAATCTCCAAATATTTGTTTGATTTCTTGAACTGATTCATGTTTGTTGCTAGCAATTAATATATCATCAACATGTGTGATTAATATATGTATTCTTGAATTGCTTTTATTAAATGATAAACAGCATAGCTTGGGTTTGCTTGGTTATTTTCTTTTACTGGTATAAATTTTGAGCTATTGTCTTTCTTAGGGATATATAATCTTCTACTAGATCCACCTGGAATTTTTCACCATCTAGAAATAATTTGAATGTCAAAGATATTCACATGAATATTCCAGTGAATTTCTATTGCCAATTGTCTTATTTAGTTTATGAGTGGGATCGTTGTCATATTGCAGTGGTGTTTAAATTTTTGAATAAGATATTTACTCACTTATTTCTTCCTCTCCTGTAATTTTCTCATTAGTACTTCCAGTATATGATTTAAAAGTATCTTATTTAAGGTTACAATGTAAAATGTATGCATAAATAGAAGAATATTTTGAATATGTAAGAAGAATTATTGAAACTGGCAAGTTCTTTTCTTTAAAATACATAATATTAGTATGACCTTTCTGTATATTTTTAGTGTGTTTATCATTTAAGCTGTCTCTTCAGAAATAGTGTATGCTACTGAACTCTCACTTCCTTTCTTCCTATAGTTGTATTTTGCTTTGCTTTATTTTTTCATTAATGATCAGGTTAAAGGAAATGTTTGCCTTCCCCACTATTTACCTTCATTTTGTAAGTGATAGCACATCCAGCTAGTATCGGAGGATCTGGAGTTGAAATTCCAGGAAGAATATAGCTGATTTTCCGATGTTTATTGCCTGGAAAAACTTCTGTAAATTAATTTCCATGTCTTTCCCCTTTTTCTTTGTAATTTCCATTCTAGAGCTTTCAACCATAGTTCTTTTTCATTGTTAGTAAAATCTCCAGGTCATCCCAATTTAATTTTGATTTCTTCATATTTTCATAGTGCATAAGAGATTATTTGGTAAGTCTCTTTTGGTTATTCTGTCAGATGTTCTGAGCAGATTTAAAATTTGTTCTCGCCTCTTTAGACAATAGTGGAGATTGTCTGCTAATCCAATATTATTAATGGAACTATGATAATGCCATTCAGGCATGTAACACACCAAGGTATCAAGAATTCTGTATTAAATTATCAACATTTCAAATTATATTGAGGATTATATATACCTACCTTGAATAGTCAATATGTAAGATGTGATGGTATTTGATGTTATATAATATATATGCTGTAAAATGTTTATTTGATTTATATTTTGGAGGCATTTGAACATAATTATGATTATAAAACACTAGGAACTTCAGTTGGGATATTTTTCCCCTTAGGTGGGGGGGGGACAAAAATGGGGCTTCTTTATATGTAACCTTTTTGGTAATTATTGTTTTAATCATTAAATTACAATATTGGGGCAAATCATAACATTCAAGAATAGAAGTCATGCCCTTTGTTATACCCTGCTGCAATTTCTTCATAAAAAGGAAAAAATTGTTTTGAATTATGGTGTACTTTTCGATATTGTAAATTCAGAATTCAGTTCTTACTGGGTCAGAAATATTTTGTACTTAGAGAATGACCCCCTTCACGCACTCATCTATGAAAGCCCACCATTGGCTAAGGGAATAAGACCACTAAACATTGAATCTAGATTTGAATCCCAATGAGCCTCAGCATTTTTATTACTTTCCCATGTGTGAAATGAATGTGAGCCAGTTTACTTAGGAAGCCTTCTATGAAGGCATCCCTTTCCTTAAGCAGATAGTCCAAATATACTTTGGTATACTAATAATAATAATAATCTAATTCAAATAATCGACCATTTATTTGAGAGTGGAAAAATCAAGAAAATTTCGTTCCTTATATTAATTAATATCTGTTTAGTTGCATATAATTATATCTGGCTTGGCCAACTTGTTCCAGGTTGCAAAAATAAATCTTGTTAAATCTGTTTTTAGCTGATAGGCTTAAATGAATGAATTCAAAACAGTACTTGCAAAACAATTCTTGCTGTAGAGGAGAATTTCATGGGATGTTTTTTGCTTACTTGCTACAACTAAAGTATCTTGTTAACCCTTTGCGGCACACTATGCGTTAACATCGGAACAAAAAAAGTTGTATCTAGTCTATTTAGTCCTAAAGGAGTATACAGGTAAAATTTTGTAAAAATTGCACTTACCATTTTAATTCTGTGGGTGTTCCATTAGGTGGAACACTGTGCCACCAGAGCTTTTAAAAGTGCGACTAAGCGAGCATTGCAGTGAAGCACGAAAATGAGTAGAAGCGTTTGTAAGAATGAAAAACTCTGTATTATGGCTGTATACATGGTTTCTTGGATATACACAATATTCTTGAATATATATGGATAAATGAGATAAATATCTGTATACACAAGTCCTATATATAAAAATATTTACAAATTTTCCTATTTCTTAGCTTCATGAAATTGTTCAAAGCAAGTCACACCTTTTTGATAGAAGCACAAACCAACTTTGCAGGTTTTGCACATAAAACTTGTTTTGTGCAGCTTCTGCTTCGTGGTACAATGTGCACATCGTCTATGCGTACCCTTCACCGGTATGTGTTCCAACACTACTGTAGCGTTTTTCCCGGAAACCTTTCCTTTATGCCTGGGAGTATCTTCAGGTCTTGAAGGAAGTCGCCTCTTCAAAGTTATCTCTGATGCTTTCATGGCACAGAGGGAACACAGCAAATTTAAACAGAAATCTTTCGGCTGTAATCCGAGGGTAATTCGTGAAACACTTTTAGCGCTTCGGAACGAGTTAGACTCTCTGTCCCATTTATGGAAAATTAATAATAAAAAAAATTAACTACGATTATATATTAACAATAAGAAAATAAGCCTATAATATATACATACACGAAAAATATCTACACAATTATTGAAAATAAACGGGAATGAGACTAAAAAGCGACAGCCAAAAATTCGCGCAGGTCTAAGTAAAGATGAGTCAAACTACTAATAAAATTCCTGCCTAAAAACTACTCCCAAAAAATTCGAAGATGCCAATATTAGGGGATTTCATAACACAAAACACACCTCACCCCTCAATACTGCTTTGTTTGAATTCATTCCCTCCCCCCCCCCAAAAAAACAATGGAAACAGAAAACGTTAAACAACGGATGTTCTCTCCTAAGCACAGGTGTTCTGATTCGCAACAGCATGAGATTGCTAAAGGCGCAGTGTTCCCGCTAATGGAATACCTGGCTTTATTCAATGATTTTGCGTATGGTTTTAGTATGAAAGATTTAAAAAAATATAGAACAAATAATTTGGAGTACAGCCAGCAAAATTATGCCTAATTTTTTTTTCCAAATAAAATTTTTTATTTCATTAAAAAAAGAGAAAATTACTTGGAAAAAAGTGGATTTTAATAACACATAATAAATGAAAATTATCTGTCTCCTTATGATATGCTGCTATCTACTGTTTAAAAAAAAAATTCAAAGTATATTATAAAGGCATTTTTATCTATTTACGGTTGCATTCAAAGGTTTCAGAAGCGATTCAATTTGGGTGTTCCATGTAGTGGAACACTGAGCCACAAAGGGTTAAAATTATTGAGATTTTTGCATGCATTGCATAGTAAAATAACACAGATGACCATAGGATAACAGGCTGGACTCATTTAAAGCAAAACTAATTTTTCCTTATGCTTTCAAAGGATAGGTACTCAATTGACATTAGCAATAAAGCTTAAACTGTTAATGAAATCTTTGTATTAGCAATATTTTAAGTTAAATAAGATAAATTGGAAGGAATAGGTTCAGAATTCATATTTAAGCACTGTGGTCATATTTAGGTGAATGTAGGGAAATAAAGCAGTTTAAAAAAATTTTAGCTGTGATACGCCAACATGCAAAATGTATATTTTGGTAGCATTAACATTATTTGGTCATAGATGTAGTGTCGAAGTTTAGACTGTAATGATTACAAGCTATGTCTTTTGGTGGTGCCTAAATATCACCAATTACAGATCTTACTTTACTTATTTTCATAATCATGGCTGTGTATTGCTACAGTAATAATTCTTAAATGTAGCAGATGATGCGGACTGTTTTATACAAAAAATTTAAAAACAGTTGGCACAATATGTGTCTCCTTTTCAATTTAGAACCTTCAATTATTTCCCATGCTATAGAGTGTGTCAAGTCATTATTAACCTTATTTACAGGGTCAGTTCTACAGACACTGCACCGAAAACTCAAGGCTCTATGCCTGGTGATGAATGCTATTTCTGGCGTACAACTGGGTGTATTTATGGAGAACATTGTCGTTACCGTCACGTAAAGGAACATGAAGGTATTGATAAAAAGAAATGGCATATTGCTACCAATTAAGTTGCCTCTTATAGAGGGAATATTATATGATGGCAAAAAGTTATTGATGATTATTTTGCTCATTTTCATGTCCGATGGTTTCTATGTAATGCTTTTTTAGGCATTGTAAGAAACTTTACCTCTGGTGTATAATAAATGGGCAGAAAAGTGTTTAAACTTTGAAATTCTTTGGTGCTGTAATCTTTTCTGCTGTGACTACAGTCCATTACTTTGTATTTAATTTTCCACATGTACTTTGTCTATATAATTGTTATTTTTAAATTATACATTCTCTTATTAGTCTTGAAATGTGATATTTTTGTATGTAAAGAATGACCTGTGTCTAATCCAAAGTGTATGAATTGTTATCATATAGACTAATTTTCCTTATCATGTCGTAACATTAAATTCACAGCCAGGGTATTTTCTTCACTTTTTAAATTTCTATAATTTTATAAATTACTAAATTTATATTTGTAAGATTTTTTAATTGTTTATTTTACTTTTATATCTAACATAGTTTGTTTTCAAAACCAAAAATGTGTGTGATCTATTGTTATCCTGAGTATATTGTATATATCAAGGTAAAAAATTTTAACTTAAGTCCTGCCATGAGTTTTAAGAAATATTTGTTTGGATATTTAATTTATTGTACATCCCTTTTTTAATAACTCTCCCTTTATTTTTTATATTTGATTGTTTCATAAAGAATTAATACTTCTCTCAAAAGTAAGTTATATTTTACAGTTGTACCTTTTTTTGATTAAACAAATATGATATTAGGAATTTTTAACTGTCATTTATTTTCTTGGTGTAGAAAACAAAACAAAAAAATTAGTAAGAAGCGAGGGGAAAATATGTGAAGCAGAATAAAATAAGCCTATGTAGAAATCTTAAATTATTTATAATTTTAAACTCACTTGAGCTTCCATGTAATTTTGTAAATCAAAATAAATTCCAAATCGTCCTTTTGTGGGGTGAGGGGTAATATTAAAGCAGTAATCAGTATATTGTAATTGAATGTATGTATCTATTTTAGGTTTAATTAAAAAGTATGTTAGTATTTTATGTATAATTTATAATTGTGGTTAGTATTTTATGTATAATTGTGGTGTGATCATGGTTTTGTACAAATCAGTATAAAGGTCCATATTTTGTATACTTTATGTAAAAATGAAAAAGTAGGTAACAGCAATATTTTAAAACCTGCTGTGTACCTCATCCCTCACCCCACTGGGGATTTTCGCAAATTCAAAAGTCCACAAAAACATTAATTTGCATGAATTTTTAAGTTGCTATACAGACATGCTTATTTACAGTAGCATTGATTTGAAAAAAAAAAAAAAAAAAAAAAAAGTGGGGATTCAAGTGAGACTTGCACAGAAACTCAGTATTTGAAAACAATAAGTATAACTTCGTAAGAATTTATTGTGTCACCTTCACCCAATGACCGTGAAGTTGGTGGCATATAATGTAATTTATTTTAATATATTTGAGTGATGTATGAATAATAAAGATAAAATAATAAAGCTAACTTATTATAATTTTAAATGCATTTCTTTTATTACTTTCCTGCTCCTATGATGTTTTCTCAGAGCTTTATTTTCTGCCACGGAACTGGGTATTTTTTATACTGTAATTTATTATCTTTGTAATGTTGTTCAATTCATTAAATTGTGCAATTGCTTAATGTTAGTGTATTTCATAAAAACAACAATAGCAATAGTTTGTTTTCTGAAATGTTTTGTATATGTATGAAAAATGTTGCATGCTATAATGAATTAGAATACCATATTGCATAAAACAGCTGGAGGAGATATGACTTTTAATTTATCATTTTATTAAACATATGCATTTATTGGTTTTGAGTTTTATTGATGGTTTGCGCATGAAGAGCTGAATCCTGGTTTTTTTGGGGGGGGGGCTTGATAAGGATTAAACATTTTAGTACTTATTTATTATGTCTTGTTTCAGCTATTATCTCATATACAGGCTATTGTAATTCAGTGTTTACTTTATATTTTACTATGGAATAATTTCACGTGAAACAATGTTAATCATGAGCTTAAATATTTTGTGCACATGTAATTATATGCCACTTGTGTTTTCACTTATGTACAGTTTACACTAGACATGGCTTTAGCCTTAGCATCTTATTCCTGTTCCTTTTTTTGTAAACTATGAAAAATGCATATTTTTACAATGTGCCTTATTATATTTTTGCAATTACATCTGTATTTTTAAATTTAATATGTGTTATTGAAATGCATCTTGTAAATAAAAGTGTATTTTGATTCATGTCTGTTTCTCTCTCTCTCTTTTTTTTTTTTTTTTTTTTTTTTTTTTTTTTTTGAAAAGTACGAATACAGCATTTTGAGAAGTAAAATATATTTACTACGAACTCAGTTTTTTTTCCCATTTGTATGCCATTATTATGGAAAATTTTTTTTTCTCTTTCTTCTTCAGTGTTTTAAATTGCAGTTTTCAGTCTCAAACTGTAATGTAAACTTTTCAACAGCAATCATCAAAATACAAAATTTTGTAAGTCAGATTTGTTATTATTTGTGTATCCATTGACAACTTTATTTTTAAGTTGTTCCTTGCACATGTATAGTCCAAAAAAGAAATCTCTACACAATCCCCTTTTATTTTGGAATGAAAGTTATCAAACTGTCTGTCACCAGAGTGACTCACATTTGTTTTTGGATGCTTGTGTTTTTCAGTTTTATTTGAAAATGTCAGTAGCGTAATATTAGTGAAATAACTGTTTTTCTTTTACATATACTATTGATCATCTCTTTTAAGATCTGTTTTCAGAAAAGTTACTTGAAAAATTTTTTGTTTAAAAAAGTTATGTATTAAAATTTTTTTGAAAATGAACTCTCATAAGTATTTGAAGACTTTGAACAAACTGCTTATATTTAATAAAAGTGTGAAAATATGGGACATTCAATATTTTTTTAGATATCCTTGAGCTAAAATTATAAGTTTCATTCACTTCGGTGTAGATTTATATAATTTTTTCAAGTAAGAATGTTTCATTTTGTTTTCTTCCTCGGTAAGGCTTGCTCTTTAACACATCTTGCGTGGATGTTTTTCCACCAAACTCTCACCAGGGCAATTTTTTGCAGTTTGTGTGCAAAATTACTTCTGCACAAAATAGCTGTATTTTTTTTTAACTTCAGTTTTTTTTTTTTTTTTAACTTTGAGTTTCTCTTTAAAAATTAATTTCTCTATTCACTTTAAAAAAGTTAAAATACTTTCTCAAAAATCAAGAATTTAAAAATGTTTTAAAGTGTGATGGCTTTCAAAGCACTTTCCTTTGTGCAGGGTACATTACGAAATGTACATAATACCATGTTGCAAAGTGTATTTTCTTGACCGAGCACATGACATTGTCTCATTTTCCTTTTTCCAGTTCCCCTAATGGTTAACCCCCGAACCAGTGATTGCGAAAATGAAGGCCGCATAAGTTGGGTGGGTATATGTATACATACTTTTAGTACTGGCAACTGCAATAAAAAAGGAAGGAGTGCAAGTATATGTTATAGTAGTCCATATGTAAAATTTAAATGTTCTATGACTAATCGTTTTTTTTCAGTATGTGAGATACATACGTATGTAGACTCGCAAAAAAATTCAGTTTGGGAAAAAAAAGAGTCCTTCATGTAAGGCTTTTGATTGTGTCTGGACAAATGTCCTAATTTGCAAAGGTTTCTCTGATTAACATTATATACATAGTTAAGTCCTACCTAGCATGTAGACATTTTATCGTTCGCATTGCAAATACATATTCGATCAGTCGAGTTGTACTAGCCGCTCCCTTTTGGTTTCCACACTTGTCAACATTTATGTTAACAACATTATTAGCACTCCCAATGCTATGCTTGCACTGTACACTGATGATACAATGATTCTTGTACAAGGTGCATTTCTGAGTCCAGTCATCCAACTCTTACAAAACCACACACATGTATTAGAGACCTGGCTAAAGCAATGAAAAATACAAGTCAACATTGATAAAACTGGCAACCATGTTCACAAAAAGGAGAATATTGAAAAAAAAATCTCAAATTTTATGGTAACACCTTGCTCTGGGCTAAGCAAGTCACTTGTCTTGGGGTGATCTTCATAAGGACTCTTATTTGGTACCCACACACACACAATCTATTATCCAGAAGTTTTGAGTGTGTAAAGCTAAACTCTTCCCCTTAATTGCTTGAAACTGCATTCTATCTATAGACAACAAGTTACTCATTTATAAATCCATTCTCCATCCCATGCTTTGTTATGCTTATCCAGTCTGGGCCTATTCCTGTAAATCAAATTACTGATGCACCATGGTTTGTGTGTAATGTTACAATACACGAAAACTTGAAATTGTACAGCTTCACATCTTTTATTATTATCAATTAGCAAAAAATTTTCATATTCAGATGAGGAGTATTTCTAACTCAAATTAGAATCTATAATTATTGTTGTGCATATAATAGTAAAAGGCCTATGGCAGTATGAAATCCTAGCATTAAGGCAGAAATTTAATTGCTTATATTTTTGTATTATTTACTATTCATTGCTTTTTATATATCTTTATTAATTAAATTATGTATATGTATATTGGGATTGAGTGATTGGTACTTATTGCATTATGTATTACACACCAGCTCTAGTGGCTCTCCCTTGTTTCTTTAGACATCTAGTCACTTCTCTTACAACCTGAAATATAATTATTTTAAAAAATGTTAATACTAACTAATTATTAGATCATTAATCTAAGTTAATTTGGAATTCATTCAAAAGTGTAGATTTATTCGATTAGGATTAGGGTCTCGAACCAAGGCACCCTGGTGTCTAATGGCGTTATACCGAGGAGTCCTTTATTCTGTCTGTAATTGTAGACATAGCGCAAAAAATAGTCAAGATGGGTACTTCCGTTAAATGTAATACCCAATTTTTTTTTTAGATTATCGGGGGGGGGGAGATGTTAATAAACTAGCTTCTCAGCCAGGTCACGAGGCTTCTAATGAAAGAAAATATCCTGCTATTGGTTATATTGTATGGAGAGAAGATCTGACATTTAAAAGCGTAGAAAATGCTGTAATTATCATTATTTTGGCGTATAACACGCACCCCCTTCTCTTTATGAAGAAACTTTCTTTATTTATTTAATCCAATAGCGGCCATCTGCCTATTCAACATTGGCCATTCCTAAGAAGTGGTGGCATTTTTGTTATGGAGGCAGATAATAGGCGACCACTGTTGCCTCCTATTGAAGAAACGAACATTTACAACATCCCTGCTCCGGTTTTCGAACACGGGCCCTTCAATAGTAGGCTTTCTTTACCATTATAGCGTTTGGGTGGCTTTACAAAGAAACTTGAAAGATACAAGTGCGATGGTCTTTTGAAGTTATTCATCTGAAGAATTTTCTCCGGCTTTCGAATAATGGTATACTGAACTGACAAGCTGTAAGGGAAACAGTATGTGAAGGGGGGATACTTGAGTAACTAATTCTGTAAAATGGGTGGGTTTTATGCAGTGCAGATTTTCCAGAAAAGAGGGACATAATTTGGGGTAAGAATGCATTTTCGATCCGAATGGAATTAGAAGTCAGATGGTTTCTTTTTCTATAGTCACTTGAAGTCGTGATGTTGAAGTAAAAATCAAAGGCTTTAGTAAGTCGAATTTCCTGTAGTTAAAAAACAGTTGATCTAGTGTTTTTTCTTTAGTAGTAAATATATATATATATATATATAGCTGATGCCAAAAGAAACAAATACAGTGCTGATTTTCAAAAGTCATACAGTTTGTGAAAGAAAATCTTAAGTCGTGCTATAGCCAGGATGTTTGGTGGAGGTGAAAACTCCGTACGTTTGTGTAAGAAAAATTAAGTCACAATAAATTAAATGTGCTAAAGAGTAAATGCGCTTCCTGTAAAGGAGTAAGAAAAGGGCCTACCCTGGAAGAAAGTGTTACGAACTGAGTCCGAGAAAATGGCCAGAATAGATGAATTGTAACAAGAATTAGCATACATTTATTTGCCTTAAAGTGGAAAAAAAAAAAAAAAAAA